AAGAGATTCTACCTCAAAACGAAACTAAAACATTTTTTTTTCTTCCATGGATTAAGAGAATTTATCCCTCAGTTTTAATATGTTTGGGATCCAGGAGTTAGGCTGGATTCAATAAAAGCCAAATATTAATTAGGCCAACATCTCATGAGCTCAGCATCAAAAGGCCCAGTCAGTCATGGGCCCCCCTTGCCACATGTCAGTGATGGCTGGCCTACAAGGAGACCCCTGATTTCCTCATCTTCCTGCCTTCACTTCCCAAGAGCTGAGAGCAGTCTTTCACCATGCCCAGCTTGCAATTTGGATTTAAAATAACAAGGAAGAGGGACCAGGTGATGTTGACCCGTAATCCAGCACTGGAGAGGCCGAGCTAAGATGATTGCTGTGAGCTCATAGCCACCGTGAGCTACACAGCGAGATGCTGTCTCAACACGCCTAAATAAATAAACATGAACAAAGAAAGATGACGAATTTCTTGATAATTTGGGAAAAAAACTGGCTTAGCCAGGGTACATTAAGCCCGTGGCCCACATGTTCACTGCCTAAAACTGCTTTAATAGAAATGGGCACGTATTGTTCGGTTTCCTAATACAAAATGAGGCCCGATAGCACTTGGGCTGCAACTAGCAGAGGGGCCTTTCTCCAGTTCCTTCTAATCTGGAGAATTCCTTTTTTAAAAAAATCAAGCCGAAAGGATGTCAGTGTCACTGTTCATTGGCGGCGTCCCTGGGCAGAGGGCCGGGTACTGAGTTGTGGGAGCCTGCTGATTGGTGAACTGCACTGTGGGGCTTGCTGCCCATTGGCTGAGTCGCTGGAGCGTGAGTTACGGGCCACCGAGGCCCGCGCCGCCGCCGTTCCCATGGCAACCAAGGCTTGGAAGAGCGACTTAGAGCTGGGTGCCGCGCCCGCTCCCGCTGGCTCCCAGCGCAGGGGGCAGGGCGGCCTGGAGGAGAGTACTGGGGCCCCACTCGGGGTCTTGAAGGGACACTTGCTACCACCTGGAGGGGGTTGGACGAGCCATCCTCAAACAAAGCAAAGTGGTCCGTAACTCCACCTCGCCCTGACCGCCTTGACCGGTGGCGTTTTGAATACAGAACCTGGCACAGGTTAGCCCCCAGTTCTCCATTAGAGAAAACGATGGAGGAAGGAAGAGGGTGCCTGAAGATGTGTGAGGCCGGTACCTGCCCTTGTGGACTCCTAGCGCCAGGGTTATGACAGCCTTGGACAAATGCACACAGGCTAAGTGGAGCAATGAGGAACGGGCGTCTTACTGTGTGTGTGGAACTCTGAAAGCCACTGCTGTGTGGCTCCTGTTCTATTTCGCAGGCTCGGGGCTTTTCTGGGGGTCTGAGAGCAGTGTCACTCACCCGCCTCCCCAGTGCTGGGATTAAAGGCGTGTGCACCACCACTGCCCAGCCAGACCGGGCTTTTTGGCGACCCGGCATTGCTGATTGACTTCAGGTGTTCATGCCTGTATGGCGAGCACTGTAACAGCTCTAAACTCTTACCCTCTTCCCAAACGTTGAGTCTCTCTCGATCTTGCTGCACTCTGTGCAGATTCAAGGCATCAGTTCCCACCAGGTAAACGGTACTCAGCTTCTGGCTGGGCTTTTCTTTTTCCTCTTTACTGGACACCTAAAAACTCATCCCTGGGCTTGTGGCTGTAGCTCAGAGATAGAGGGCCTGCTTAATCTGTGTGTGCAAGCCTTGAAACTATAAATAAATAAAAATATCCCAAACAAGAACGTACCCCATATTACTTCCCTCCTTAAAAACCCTTCAGTGACTCATTTTTAGACTTAAATTTGTTCCCCCCCTCTCCAATCTCTCCTTGCCCTGTAGCTCAGGATAGCTTCAAATTCAACATCCTCCTGCTTTAGCCTATGGAGTGCTGGAATGACAGGCATGAGCCACCTTGAAATTGAGTCTCTTGCCCAGGCTCTCTCTATATTTTATATAGAATTTGCAATTCTCCTGGCTCAGCCTCCCAAGTGCAAGTGCTAGGATCCCAGGTGTGTGTCCCCTGGGAGCCCACCTGACAGGGATGAAGATATTCTAGAGAGATGCTTGGCGCCTTCCTTTGGCTATGAGGTTGTTTTGGGATATTTGATCCTACTGTGAACCCCAAAATTGTGAACCTAAAATCCTGCTTTTTGTTTGGTGTGATTGAGCCCTATCACACACTCTTAATAAAAGAACTTTCTGTTAATTGTAAACAGGTGATTATGGTGTGGTTCACCCAGCCCTAGTACACACCTTTAATCCAAGAGCTTTCTGTACACCAGATTTAATAAAGTTAACCCTAGGTCAAGAGACAGAGCAGGAGACCAGGGATTAAGGAGTAGAAGGGACTTTGAGTGGAGAAGAGTTTTTAGCTCAAGCTCTGGCTTTAGCTTAGGCATCGGCTCCTAAGCTCCCTGGCTTTTTGGACTTTGAACTAGCAAGCTGTTGGCCTTGGGTTTTTTTGGCCTTTTCCTCTTGGGCTGTCAGTTGTACTAGTGAGCCTTTTGGGTTTTTTCCATCTGGACCTGAGCTGAGAAGGAATGTCAGCTGGGTGTATTCTCTGCCTCTCTGAGCTAGCAGGTTTTCACCCAGCAGCAACTGGCTCCCAAGTTTTATTGGTAAATAGAATTGTTGGGATTTTCATTAGAAACAAACAAACAAAAAGCATGAGGTTATATCAACACAGGAAAATCCAAGGAATCTGACTTTCCTCAGGAGTCTCACGTTAGGAAAAGACAAGACTGACCAGCGGTGCCAGCCAGGACCTCACACAGTCCCAACACTTGACAGCCATCTTATGAGACCCACTGGAGCAGTCACAGGACAGCCTGACCAGGACTGCTCAGTCGTGTCTACCTCTATTCAAACCCAAAGCTTGCGTTAGGTCCCAAAAGATGGACCTGACCTCCTCTTCTCAAAGTGGCCACATTGAATACATCTCTTTTCTCTGCTTTTCACTATCGTTTAACTGCCCAATGCAGGATGAGTGGCTCACTCTAGCATGTTCTGGCCTGCCAGAGCCCAAGCTCTGCCACTCACATGTAGTGGGGATGGGATTCAGATTTCCACCATTTTACCAGTGGTAGTACTCCGGGTACCTCAGCTCTGTGGTGATCTTGACATCACTGCTGCCACCAAGTTCAGGGGCCATCCATGTTTAATACCTACAGCATGCACACACACCTGGGCTGGGGCACTGGGTTTCACTCGTTTTTAGAGTCTTCCCACTGTTTATTTTAATTGCTGTTTTGCCTAGGTCAGCAGCACTCTTGTTCTCTCTCAATTCACCCCCTTACCTTCTTGTCCTTTTCATGTCACTTAAGGGTATTTTTGGTTTGGTTTTAAGACAGGATCTCACTATGTAGCTCTGGCTATCTCAGATCGATGTGCGAACCCAGCTGGTCTCTGCTTCCCCAGGTGCTGGGATTAACGACCCACTTCAGGTATTTTCTGTGGGAAGTTACCTCTGACCCCAGTCTGAAGCAGCTTTCCTTGTCCAACTTCTCCCTGCATGCATCTGTGTGACCAGGACACTGCTGAGCTCCAGAAACCTCCAAAAGGCCCTTTACAAATGTTGAAGTGGACAAACAGAGAATTGACTGGAAGCCCCGAGACAGATACGGCCTCCTAGCCCCAATGTCTGGCCTTGTCTCTAGCCACATATGCAACCCTCCGCTGACCTGAATCCTGTCTGTCCCCGGGTCATGGCAGGCAGGCATGTCTCCTCAGCTGTGTGTGCTCTGCCTGCTACTGGGTTTCCCTTCGCCTCTTCGAGGGAAGGCCTTGATTTGCTTCGGACGGGTCTAGCCAGGCGGGTTTGTTTTGTTTGCCACGGCAAGTGTCTGAAGCACAAGCTGCCGGCTTGGTGACCTGTCCACCGATCCTCACCATGGCCCTACCTAGCAGATGGCGGCTCCACAGTGCCACGCTAGGCCTGTTTTCGGCAGGCACGGGCTCTGGAAAGCTCCACAAACGCACTGGTCCGGCAGCCTCCTTGAGGAATTGCAGCTCGCGGGGCTGCGCTCTGATGGGAGAGGAAGCTGGGGGAGGTTTGGTGTGTTCCAGCCTGGGCCAGGACCGTCTGTAGGAGGCTCTGGCGCGCATCCCGAGGGGGATGGGCAGGGAAGCTGTTTCTTCCTCGGGATTCCAGGAGGTGGGGGAGGGGCGTTGAGGGAAGCCGCCTTCAAACACCAGCTCCTAGGCACACAGCCTGCTGGGAGGAAGGGGGTGGGGAGCATGCTGAAAGCCCGCTTTCTCTAGGAGGCCGCAAGCCCTGTCAGGGGGAGGAAGAATATAGGGGGAAGAGGAGGAAGGGGAGGGAGTTACTCCGGAGGAATGACTGATGGCTCTTCGATCCTGGAAGGAGAGGGGTTGAACTGGTTAAAAAGCAAGTTCTCAAGAGCCTTGCAGGCCCTAGGCTCAGGTCAGTTCTGCAAAATCCTCAAGTCGCAAATTCTGCGAATCCACATGGTGGGAACTTTATCTTCAAACACCTCAACGCTGGAAGCCCTTCAAGGGGTTAGCGGCAGTGAAGCACTGCATACGGGTCCAGAGACCTGGCCTCTGTTCCGCCCACACGCTAAGCTCGCCCTCACGTAGCTCCAGTGTTGTTCTGCGCGCGCAGGCGCAAACACACAAACATCTGTTCCCAGTAATCTCAGCGCATCTGGGAGGTCTAGGCAGGACTCCCGAGTTCTGTGTCAGGCCAGGTGGTGCGGGCCTGTGCTCGCCATCTCTGAGTTCCATGACAGCCTGGGCTACAAAGAAACGCTGCTTCAAAAGACCCCCCACCCACCCAAAAAAGAAGCCCAACCCCAAACCTGAAAAAGTTACACCAAATAGTTTAACAGTGAGCTGAGCGCAAAGCACTGGGTTTGGGTAACTGCAGAAAGCCTGGCCACCGATGCCTGTAGGTTAGAGAAATAGCAGAGGGAAGGGTTTGACCTCTGGGTTCTGCAACTTCATCTAACGCTTCAGGAAAAAACAAACAGAAAACACAGTTATAAGAAAGATAAATATTTATTCAGAACAAATCTTAGCAATTGATTTTACATTCTACGCCACGAGGAAATAGCAAAACAGTAAAGAGAAGACGAAAACTGAAGAGCAGTTTACTGTCTCTCACTTTAACTTGCTAACACTTAGTCGACTCAGACCCTCTGTCCGTGGCCTGTTTCCCCAAGAACATTTTCGAGTTTACAGTTCACTCATGATTCTGGGTTAAAAACACCTTTCCCCTGAGGGTCAGAGTTCAGTGGCTGATGAGCTCTCGCTAACCTTTTTAGGGTTCCTAAGTAGCCGAGGCAGAGGTGCAAATGTAAACATCCGTAGTTTCTCTTCTGAGGGGCAGTTTCTCACGGTGACAGTGGACGGGGTAGGCCCCGGAACATTTCAGATGCCGTACTCTACGGACTGATCGACTGATCCGTACCTAGAGTGTGTTCCCTGGTCCCTTCCCTACCCCAAATACTATGAAATGGCAGGACAAGCTTCCTCTCTGCTCATCCAGGGATGGTGTCTCAGCGCTGTGTGGGCTCATCGCTGTGGAGAGAGCAGACTTCCTTGGCCCACCAGTGTGGAGGAGATCGTGAAGTGTGAGAGGTAGTGGGATGAGCACCGGGCTTGGGGTCAGGGGACTCTACAATGGGCTATGTGAGGCTCCATGCGCTGTGCACTTGGGCCAGTCACTGAACCTGCCTGGGGTCTCTCACCTGCTGGAAACCACCCTTCCTGGAGGCAGACGTGAGACAACCACTGTAAGGTTGAAGCCAGCCTATTCTGTGAGTGCGGCCAGTTCCAGGCAGGCTGAGACAAGGCACACTGACACCCAGTCTCAAAACACAAAACCAAAAGCAACCTCTCCCCAAGAACCGCCCCAAGCAAACAAACAAACAAACAAAGCAAAACCGAAACAAACACCTCTTGGGTCTTCTCCAGCAGGAGAGCCTTAGCTCCACCATCCTATAGAAATGCGGCTTCTGAGTCACCACAAGGAGCTGTCACAGGTAGGTACACTTTTATGCCACGGGAGGCCCTTGACAACCGTTCAGAGCTTATTCAATTACACACTTGTAGCAACACTGATTTCACAAAAGTCTGACACCACATAGAAGCAGCAAATGAAAAGGGCCCAGCCGAGAGCTGCAAAAGGTACACTCTGCCGTTCTGACCGACAGAAGCCAGTCAGCAAAGTTCTCAATCCAATACAACACTTGCTGGCGTGCCTATCCCTCGTCGGGCGGGCTCTGTACCGGGAGCTGAGGCAGAAGGATGACCAAGGCAGCCCGAAGGGCAAGAATCTTCTGAGGAGAAGACGTATGAGGACGGAGGTAGTAGAAAATACAAGGTGTGGTGTGTGTGTGTATGTCGACGACAAGACCAAAACAAACGCAAAACGGGAGGATAAGGGGGGAGGGGAGGGGGCGGCAACGTGCCTGCTCACTGCAGTCCCCAATCGTCCTTTCGGTAGAATTCACCATGAACAGGCCAAAAAGGCGCGCTCACGATTCTGAAAAGGCATACAGAGAACGTCTCCGGTGGCTTTCAGAAACATCTCGGTCCAAAACGATTAAAAAAAAAAAAAAAAATCTTAAGAAAAAAGTTTTGGCACTTAAGAGGGGTAAGCTGGCTGTGTGCTCACGGGCAGACGCGCGCGTTCAGTGGCCCGCCACGCCGGGGAGCTGAGCGGCCACGGAATTGTGGACGGCTTTGGGACACTGGGCAAAGGCGTGTCCCCTCTTGCCACAGAGGTTGCACACGATGACCTTCCGGCAGTAGGGGCTCAGGTGGCCCTCCTCCCCACACCTGAAACACCTGTCCTGGCTGCAGGTGCCGCTCATGTGGGTCCGGGAACCACACTTGAAGCACGTCTTGGGCTGCCCCTTGTACCAGCTGTAGCCCCTCTCGGCGCCCAAGAAGAAGGCCCCGGGCAGGTGCCGCACCCCGCCCTCCCCCTGGCGCAGCTCGATCTCGCACTTGTACTCCCCGGTCCAGATGCCAAACCTGTCGGTCACTTTGACGGGCACGGCCAGCACGTCGCAGTGGCGCTTGAGCCAGGTCACGATGTCCTCCACGTCCACGGTCTCGTTCCGGAAGAGGATGAAGAGGGTCTTCAGGCTGGACTTGCTCCGCCCCAAAACCACGAAGTTGTCCCAGCAGTCCTCCAGCTCGCGCTTCTCCTCGTAGACGCGGAGGAACAGGGCCAGCTTGTCCGCGGATCGGAAGCTCACGTCGAACTCGCGGCTGCCGGGGACCTGAATGACGGCGTAGATGTCGTCGGGGTCCATGCCGATGGAGCGCAGGATGAGCGCGCCCACCACGAAGTCCCGGGTCGGGCAGGCGCCCTCGTCTCCCTGGAAACAGATGCGCACGAGGAAGCGGCCCTTGCCGGGCCCGGCGGCCGGCGGCTCGTCCTGGGGCGCCTCGTCCTGGGCCGGCCGCTCGGCCGCCTCGTCGGGCCCGGCGGGGGTCGCCGCGGCCGCGGCCGCCTCGGCCCTCTTCCGCCGACTCGGGTCTCCCGCGCCCTTCTTCCTGCAGGCGTCCGCCGCCTCCCCCGCGGGGTCCCGACGGCGGCCCTTCGGGTCCCCGCGCCCGGCCGGGGGG